ACCTTCCAGTTCACTTTCGAGTTCATCTTCTGTCGCGTTTTCCAGCAATAACTCAAAAAGTTCGCGGTCCAATACCTTTAGTTCGTCATATTTACCCGACAAAAGTTCCCATACCACCCGCGTTGTGTCTTCAGACACCGTGGTTAGTAAAAGCGGCTCCAGCTCATTTGCCGTTCGCGTAAAAGAACTCCTTATAACTTTTCTACATTTCTTTTTAGTCTCGATCTCGGTCATGGCGAACCCGGTACTAAACCACCAACGCGTTTCCAATATATTTCAAAACAACGTGAAACGTGTGGTAAAAGCTCGCTTGCTTATTTTTCCTGACGATCCGAATACTTCAAAGTTTCAAAATCCCGAAAAAACCAGTGAAAGTCCTGTCACGGTCGCCAATAATATCGCGCTCACAAAAGGCTACCCGCTATTTGCGCTACGACGGTTCTATTTCCAAAGAAACTGGTTCCGGGCTTTTCCAATACTGATCAATTTATTTTAAACAGATTTGGTTCGTTACGACTTACAACTTGTCTTTTTGTTGAATCAAACTGAAACTTCTCTAAACTGTCAAGAGTCACCAAAACGGAGAGTTTTTCTACCTGCTCTCTTAACAATAGTTTCCATAGTTTCCGACAGGTGTGGTAACTAAACAAAGAACCTGAACAGTGTCCCACCCTGTGGGCATATTTTTGTTACCCTTTTTACCACCCGCTGTCTCGGTCCACTGACCCACTAACGGGACCTTTAAAAAATATTTGACTTGACAGAGGTGGCGGGGTGAATCTTGACAAGGGTGAATCTTCAATGGCTTTAACACCATAATTTCTGTGAAGACTTAAAAAGGAATCAGATATACTTATTAGTTTTTCAACATCCATTTCAGCTCCATGGGTCACAAAAATATTCATTATTCATTCTAGAATATTCCGTTTACTTGTTCAAAACTACCAAAAATTACATTTAATTCTAAGTGGAAATTCTAATGGTAAAATTTTAAAAAAGGGTAAAACGATCACTGGCGCATATTATTCAAAGCTTTTCGACAACCGTTTTGGCCGCAGTTGGCAAAAAAAGTGCTGTTTCCTCATTACAATGTACGGGTGCACACGTGTCATCATGGTAAAATCCATGAATTAGGATACGAACTGCTGCTGCTACCCCAAACAGGATATTCTCCAGATTTACCCCCCTGCGACTTTCCTGTTCAAACTTGAAGAGGGCAGTAAGAGGGTCCAATGAAGAAGTCATCATTGAAACAAACGCATATTTTGAGAACCTCGATATATTATATTATTTAGAAGCGAGGAAAAATTGGAATGACGCTGGACTGACCGAAAAAAGTTCTTTCATGCAAAAAGTCACTGACTTACCTATCAAACGATCCTCGTATTAGCTCGTGTTGACAAGTTTTGCAACATTACAAATATAATGTTTTTGATATTTTAAAATTTGTAATTATACCAAATACTTTATGAAGCAGCACTTAGAAATGTACAATTCATACAATTTTTAAGTAAGATATGAAGAATAAATTACATGTCCAAATGTCACTGATCAACAAAAGTAACTGCATTTAAAGTTATGGTTTTCAAAATACATGTTTTTGATTTCTAGTTAAAGTCACAAGCAAAAGAAAAGCTTTCTGAGGCGGAAGAGAGCCATATCTTTGCTCCTTTTGATAAGGTTGGTTTTTGAGCTACCCATTTTGTTGCAATAGAATTATGCTGACAGTTAGTAAATGTAGAAAAGTAGAAATCATATTCAGCAGCATAAGCATGTGTCCCAGCAGCTGATAGTCACTATTCAAAAGTATCATGTATTAATGGCTTGTCGCTGCGTCGCTGCGTTTCATCCGCGCTATATAATTAAAAGTAAACGTATGTCAGAGTTATCAAAGTTAACTGAAATTCTACAGCCATTATTGAGTACAGTGATCAAATTTCCAATTCAAAGGCTTCTGGCGCGAATTTTATGCCTGCACGTCAGACACTAATTAAACGTTTATTAAAATGAACCACTTTGAAATATCACGCTTTTGTTTATTATTTTATTTCACTAACTTATATCTCCGTTTTAGTAACAACTTTCCAATTTGAAGCTACATTTTTTAATATATCTATGTGGTGTGTACAATATAAATACTTCGAAACATCTTTTATGCATGCTTGTATCCACATTTTTATTTATCTTGCTACTGACCAAGCAAATAAATCACACACTCTTGTTGAACTTCGTTTCCATTGCAGAAGGTTCTCACTGTTTTAAGCTCGTCGGTTTTTTAGTTGACTATTCAAGCAAAGAAAGCAGCTGGCGAAGCTACCAAAAGTGTTCAAGAAGCCAGCAAATCGGCGCTTGAAGCCAGCAAAACAGCAACAGCAATGAGTAAAAATACCATAGATGATTTGACGTACGCTGGCAAATCCACATTTGGAGACCTGACAAAGTCGGCAAAAGAAGTTGTAAACGTTAAATCTTTGCTAAGAGTTAGTTTATTTTAAACTGGCCGATGGAACAGCCTAACTAATGTTTGGCACATTTTAGGGCGATTCGTTCAATAGAAATGACCAGAGACGTGAGTCGACCTCTAGTTCTACATCTGTAGTTGCTCACTCGGCTCTAGCGGGTGCTAGTCGTGATTTCTTTTCCAATATTCAGTCAGATTTGAATGGACTAGCTTCAAGCACTACAAGCATGTTTTCAGATTTGTTTGGCAACAAAAAAGACAACATTAGGTGTGTTTAGAGGAGTCAATACATGCCATTTTAATTACGCACTAACTAAATTTACTTTAATTTAATTTAATTTATTCCGTCTTAGACAAGATGAACTTGGGCATATGGAAAAGCAAAAAGATGGAAAATCTGGACTGTTTAGTCCATTCCAGAGAGGAACTAAAGAGATAGCGGAGAAAACTAGTTTACATAAGCCAATATCTAAAGCGCAAGATGAATTACATAGAAGACAGAATGTAGAAAAAGCGGCAGATAATGCCGAAAATCAGTTGCTTTTAAACGATGTAAGTATGATGATGAGCTTTCCAATAATGTCTTTATGAGTGCCACTTTAACAAGTGAAAAAATCTTGTTATTTCTGATGATGATTTTGATGAATTTACTGAATTTGATAAGTCGTCAGGAAATTGTTGGGATTCATTCGCGACAAGTAAATATTTTTAGGGCTTTTCCGACAGAATTTCATCTTCCATTAAACCAACGACCAATTATATAAAAATTTCTAACTTTTAAACTTTTTCTCGCTTACTAATTTAATACATTTTCTGACCACCTCTAGATACGTAAGAAGTGCAAACATTGAGTTTTCTCTTGAAAATACACGTGACATGCTTAAAGGGCGTTCGGTACAAACTTTTTTGTTAGGTTTTATTAGGTATTTTCCTGGACTACTAGCATTATAGGGCATTTACGATAGAGAATAATCTTATTTATTATTAGATTATTACGAATGTCCTGGATGGAGAAGGCGTGGGATGGCTAAAGTTTAACAGACTAAAGAAATTAATGGAAGAAGAAATATTTCGTACATTTGCTTTGACGAAAATAAATCACACAATTAATAAGAAAGTATCTCCCGATGAACACGTGGACGACGTGGTAAGATAAACGATATTCTGTCATATCGAATGAATCTTTTGGAAACTGAGAAACGAAAATTTACTTTGTACTTGTTAAATTTCAGTCCATACCAAAACCTGTATGGAAGGGAATGTTGAAAGTTCTTCAGGCAGTTCAGCATGGGTTGGAGTTAACTTATGGTAACTTTGGGCAAGGAGGGTTAGCTTCGGTTTTTCAGATGCATCAAATTGCGCACACACATTACTGGACTAAAGATATTGTACAAGATCAGCGGGCATCTTCATCTGAAAATACGCGGGTAACGGACTTAATAAAAAGAGGCTTAATAATTCAAAAGAAGAAAGCTGTTTGCATAATAAAAGCATAGAAACTCTTCAAACAAGTTTTTCACATTTACAGAAATCGAGTCCACAATCACCTGTCAGTCCTAGCAAGCTTAGTTCGGAATGGGAAAATGAGAGCAGAAAGTCTTCCCAAGCAGGTAATAGCTGAAAGCGGATTCGTTTCGAGTTATTACATACAATGTTGAAAATTTGTAGAGCCTCCTGAGGTAAGACTTATTGAAGACGCGGACTTTGATAAGTCGGAGCAGACAACCACAGAGATTTTCAAGGATATGCTTAGCCAAAAGAAAAACTTGCTCTTGAGTAAACTGACCTCATTTGATTCGGATGTACGTTCTTTAAATATACTGTTTTTGTTTTAACAGTTTCAAATATATTTCGAACACAAAAGAAAACCTACTTATTTATAAATACAACTTTTTTTAATTAAAATCGCTTATATTTTTTAAAGTATGTTGCGCTTCTTCTTGTTGATTTTTTAATTTAATGCCTAGGGGGAAGGTACCATCCATGGTTCTGGAGGAACGGTATCTCCAGGATCAATAACAGCTGGACCTGCCGGAAGTCTTCACAGGGGAGGCAATCAAGCATCATTCAGATCGACAGTTTCTGATACTGACGTTGAAACTTTGCAGGTAGAGTTTTAGGAAATAATCTGATGAGAAAGCACAACATCAAATATCGCCAAATATTTATCATTCCGAATCTTCAATTGCAAAATAGCACCAGTTTGAAATTTTTTAAATTTCTACAGATCATCTACATTCTGAAAATGTTTTAGATTAAAAATTTTAATTTTTTAAAAATTATCTTGGACATTCTTAATTAATTATTATTTTTCAAATGTTTCTTTCTCTTGTTGAAAGGTTCTATTGCTATATGGACATCACGAGAACCTTTTCGTCCTTTTTACCATCAGCTGTGGTTTTGGTTTTGATATTGTAATTTCTTGATTTATTAAATTAATTACAAGGAATGTGAAACAAAATTTACGAAAAAGTAAAATATACATAAAACCTGAATATTTTCAAATCAGTTGCGTGGAACAATTTGATGTTCCAAAGTCTGCATGCATAAAAACACATTTGTTAGGAGGATTTGAAAAACTAGCAATGTGTTAATTAACAACTAACTTGATATGAGCATTTTCTTTTGTAGTTTCCAAAATTACCAAAGCAACGTGCTTCTAGTGTTTGGTCCAGCAAGTCTTCATTGAGCGTTGGCTTTCGATATCATGGAGGACACATAGTTAATACTAATGCGGCATCCTCACCTGATGTTGTTCGAACATACTTATTCGAAGGTTTGATAGGCAAAGACAGGTCAAACTTGTGGGACCAAATGCAGTTTTGGGAAGATGCTTTTATGGACGCTGTTGCTCAGGAAAGAGATACCATCGGAATGGATCAGGTACTAAAATGTAGTTTAAATTGATAATTTTAGTATTTCCCCGACCAAGATATTTTATCGTGTTTCACCTGGTTTTTACCAACTTAATCTCATTGATAATAGGGTGCTAGAGAGCTTCTAGACAGATACAAAGGTCTCAGTGACGCAGAAAGGAAGCGACTGGAACATGAGGAAGATAGGCTGCTCTCAACATTCCTTTATAATCTGACTGCAATTCTTGTAATGCTGCGTTGCAATAAAGAAGAAATTAAGCGAAAAGTCCGAAGATTGCTTGGGAAAAGCCATATTGGGCTTATTTACAGCCACGAGGTTAATTTGCTGCTGGATCAAATCCACAATTTGGTAATTATATTGTTATAATACCCAGGAATGCCCGCACAAATATTGGGGAAAAAGGAAAATACACAAAATATATAAACGACAATTCGGAAATTAATTGTTTAGCGAAATATTAACAAAAGCTCCTTGATATTTTAGGAAGGTAATGACATTGACTTGAAACCTCTCATATCTCAATCGCTACACCGTCAAAGTTTTACTGTGCATTTCGGGACGGATTGCACGGGAGATCTTCGATTCCTTGAAGTTAAGGACGACGGTTTAATTATACGATTTATTAATGGGACTATATTTGAGCGATGGTTCTTTAATGTACTTGTCAACATGACTTACAGTCCTAAGAACAAAGTGCTGTGTCTCTGGAAACGTAGCGTCGGAACTACAAAAGTCTATAAATTTTACACCAAAAAGGTAACCATGTTTTAAAGCTCTCTATTATTAAAGTCCACTTAGTTTACAATTCATAATTTAACGAGCTAACAACAGTCAATGATTTTCAGTGTAAGCAAGTATATTATTGTTTAAAAGAAGCAATAGAACGAAGTGGAGCAGTTCACAGTGTTCCTGAGTTAGGAGGTGAGTTTCCGGTTCAGGATGTTGCAACTGGAGAAGGCGGATTGTTGCAAGTATGCATGGAGGGAGTTGGATTACTCTTCGCCAACAGCAAGGTAGGTCAAAACTTTTGTAGATCAGTTTGCTCAAATGGATATCTAAATAATGAATGCCAAGTGTATTTAAAGTTTCCTATTGTTTAAGCATATATCAATGCTTGGCGTTTGTTTTTAGTAATTTTTAAATAAAAGTACAAATTATAGATAGTCTTTATGAACATTCCTATTTTTAAATCCTATATGTACAGACCAAAATGATATAAATTATGAGATATTATTTGCGATCAACATACAATACATTTATTAAAATGTCAGTGCGTGGGTTATGGTAGTAGTAAGTTGGGTGGCGGGTGGAGGATTGTAGTCCTCTGAGATCCTGCATGTCTTAGACATGCTGGATCGGAAGAATACTGTCTGAAATCATGTCCTAATCTGGTACCCGACCCAATATCTACTTGGTCTTTCCTATATCCTTACCAACTCACCAACCTGTTTGGTAAGCGTGGTATTTAAATTGCCACACATCTTCTTCAAAACCAATGCATATGCCGAATCCTAAATTACATATATCCCAGGAGAGTAGGATAAAATATTCAGAATCTCTCACTGTCAATATGGCAGTCTGCCCCATGGGTTTTGGGAGGGGCAAAGATTCGATTGAAGCCAAACATTGAAAGCGAAATGATCTCTATTACGCACATTTAACATACGAACACTGAGAGCACAAGAACATCTCGAGGAAGAGCTTACATACATAAAATGGGACGTGTAGGTATATGCTAAACACGACACCCAGGGGAGAAAACAACAATATTACACTCCGGAAATGTGTTATATCAAAATAAGACCACAACAAATTACCGTAACAGGAGAGTAGTATTTCTAATAAACAAACAACTGAAACATCAGATTTCATCGTATCGGGCAATATCCGAAAGAGTAATCTACATAACCATCAAACTAAACAAACGTCAGGCTACAACTGCTATACACGTTTTCACCAACAGGCAGAGTAGAAGATGAAGAAATTAAAAAACTTTATGAAGACATCATAACAGCACGTAAACAAGAAAAGGCTCATTATGTTATTGTCACTGGCGACTTTAACCCCAATATTGAACAAAGGACAGCAAACGAGAATGAACATATAGGACCCTTTGATCTAGGCGAGCGAAACGATAGGGGTGAAATGTTATACGAATTCTTATGCGAAGAAAGTTTATACTGCCTTAACACTTTTTTCACAAAACCTCCCCAACGAAAGTGGACTTGGATCAGCCCCGGCAAAATAGCTAAAAATGAAATAGAGTTGATACTTGCCAAGAACAGCAAAATATGCAGGGATGTGACAGTATTGAACAAATTCGACGCGAAGTGACCACCGGTTGGTCAGAGCCGCCTTGAGAATTAACACAAAGATCAAAAGGAAGAAACTATTTCATAAAGAAAAATTCCCCACTACAGAAGAAATCGAGAACAGAAGAGAAGAATATCAGCATGAATTGAAGAAAAAATTAGAACCTATTGAAAAACTAGCCGAAAGGGACATAGATAACCTCAACTTCTCGAACAAAATAAAAAAGTTACCAAAAAGTTAGATATCAAAACAGTTACCAAAAAATTTACCAACAATAAAAAAAAACCATCAAAGTATATGAAGCCCCAACACAATCAGCGCTTAATGGAAGAAACACGCAAAACCAATAAAGATTCAGATACATATGGAGAATTAAACAAAAAAGTCAGACGGTAGATTAGAAGGGACATCAGGGAATACAAAACAAACACAATAACACAAAAATTGTACGCTAGACCATAGAAGGCAACAGCATATGAAAGTGCTACGTAGCAAGCTAAGCACAGGCAAACAAAAAATAAACAAGATGAAAAACCAGTAGGGAGTTTTAATAGCGGATAAAATAGGGATTATTCCAATTGTGGAGAACGTCTACCGCGACCTATACACTTCCACAACGGCGATTGCGGATTTTAGCAGACAGAAGAAATACCATAAATTTTCTTTATAAGTAACGTTTCACCACTTTCAACAAGTTCCAACAAGTAAAAAAAGACCATCAACATAAGTTATAAGTAACGTTTTCCCAGCAACAGAACTGAGTTACTGCACCGGCGTTGGGTTGGCCCAGCAAGCCATTTGTGCAGCACTGCGCCAACGCCTAAAAATTGACTGAGTTACCCAGGCCTAACACAGATCATTAAATAAACTTCTGGACTACAGACGCATACTGAAACTAAATACATGCAAATTAAACTACGTAAAAGATGCAAACAATAGTATAGGTTGGATCTGATAAATCCGGTACACAAATCATCAAACCGACTAAACTTCGCAAGGACAACCGAGGCACTGCTTTAAATGCAATTAAAATTGAATATTATTTCGCATATCTGGATCAAACTAAATCCCTTAGTGGTAGTAGAGAAGTTAGACAACTCTGCCTCCTTTCTCTAAAAAGCTCAACTAGAACGCTTACAAACACAATCAAACTAACCAACTAATATAGGAATAATATTAAGATGATAAAATTAAACCTAGATAAATAGATCTGTTTTCATCAAATAACCATTGGTAGAATTGCAAAATTAACAACTTTCAGGCCAGTTTGAAATTCGATTAGTTTTGAGTGTAGATCTGTCTTAGAATTCGAATCTGAACAATCGTTTAACACTTCTTTAACACATTATTTCATCAATCTTATCCTAATTAATAATAGATTGTTACACTTTTTAAAACTAGTTGTGCTTATTATTGAGATGCCATATCACGAAAATGCGGAAAACTCTCTAAATATACTGTTACCCGTCATTCATTTTCCTTAAAGTAAAACGAACTTTAATTTTCCAGGGCCTCTTTTGACAATGAAAAGCTTCATTTTCAGATTTCTCAGAAGCTATGTTCTGTTAAAACATTGCCACCTAGGTTTTTCAAGTTTATTACAACATTTTCGCAGTATCAGAAACAAATTATTCAATCATTTGGTTGATGAAAAATTTTAAAATTCTTCTGTTATATGTAAAACAGTTATATTTATTATACATTATTATCCGGTCCAGATTAACGTCCGGTTAAGTAGAGTCTATGATGCGAAGTTTTTAGTGCATATAATATTTAATTACAATAGAAGCATGTAGCAATTTGCAAAATAAACTAGCTAAATCATCCAAGGAATAAACTCTTGTTGCCAATACTCAATCTGTGCCAGCTGCTATGACCAAAATGTTTCCACACTGTTTTTTTTATTAGAAATTATTATTACTATAATTAATGTAATTAATAATTTTCCAATCGATTATACATTTTTACACGTAATAGCTGTAAAGCTTCGTACTAAACGTACCTAACATTAAAAACGAGTTTTTCGGATTGTGTGATAAATTTAGATATCAAGTTCTTTCACTCATATTTTCTAAATTCAGGTCGAAATTTGCTTACCATGTTAATTATGAACAAAATTTTCATGACGGATCTTTGCATACAATTTGTGCTGAAGTAATTTTTCGTGATTCACGTGTGTTCCAAAGTATATGCTAATTAATTTTTACCAAACTGTTTAAAAATAATGACTTAACATGATAACTAATGCACTGACATTACTAATTAATACCGTTTTTACGCAATTTAACCAAAACGAATTGTTGGAGTAAATCCACTGAATCGCAACTTGCATCAATATAATTTAATCATTTTGGTATTTTTTTCGATTATTCAGTGTCTTTATTAGTTCTTTGCCCTGTGATGTGCATTGATATTGTGCAAGGACCACTCAAAACTTTCCTCTTTGCTGCGCCACTCCTTAGATTATTGTCACGTTGAAATACCTATTCATGCATCATTGGCAGTAGCAAGATATTTTATAAATTTGATATTATGAAAACTTATTTAAATTATGAATCGTGAATGTTGTATCCGCGTTTGGATAGGCATCACTCGGCATAATAAGCTACTTTTTTATTAATACATTTGTCATTGAATTTACTTGTACACTGCAAGTTACTTTCAAAGTAACCACATTGATTCTTACCGTTAAGTATTTGTAGTATGACTTAGATTTTGTTATACCTATTTTTTTATTGTCAATAGATAATATATAAGTACCTAATAGATAATTGGGGTACCATTCACATAACTATCAATTAATTTTAGTAATATAGTTGAGTATCTTGTATCATTGTTTGCATTCTCTCAGTAAATTTTAGTTACAAATTTCTCTGTCCTGACTTTGGTGTTTATAGGTAATGATGAGAAAGACATATAAAATGTCGTTTATCTGCATGCAGCTCAATGTGCCATATGTTACCTATATCAATTATTGTAACAACTATTTTATAATTTTTTGCTTTTCGATGTTTTCTACTCTCTTTCTCTCTTCTTCTTTGTAATGAGTGGTCAGACGTAAATAACAGCTTTCTAGAGGATCCTAAGCAAACTTTGCCATGTCACATACATATTTATTGATACCGTATGAAAAATGAAGTAGGTAGAGAGTGTGAAGTTAAATCCTCGAGAAAGCTTAATAAGAGCTTAATGGGAACTTTTGAGATGGTCCGATTACGTCGAAAATAAAATACTAACTGTTTATTATTTTCTCGTCCATCTGTCCACGTCGACACGCTGCTTGCAGGATTTTGAGGTATTGAAAAATGGTCTATTAAAATTGGTCGTTAGTTTTAGTCATAGTTTTTGTTTAGTTAGCCGCTTTCCCTGTAGACTTCCGCTATTTTGCACTATTAGAGTGCTAGAACTTTAAATAAAGCGTTTAAACTGCAGAAAAGAAAATTATAATTGGCAAAACAATTTGCACTTTATTGTAAATGCCTATTCACGTTAAAAATCAGATCTCCAAGGCAGTTTAAATGACGTAACCAAAGCGATATTACCCGTTAACGCAAACAAAAACTGACAAAATTAGATGTAAAAAATGCAAATCGCGCGATAAATGTAGCCACTGTAGCAGCTTTCTGCGGGTTTTCTCGCATGGCAACTTACACTGTTTTATTTTAATTGCACCATATCGTCACCAACTAATCTTTAATATCACACCTCAACACCACTAACACCAAACACCTTCTGTTACCGAATCTAGGTCTTTCAAACCATCTCTAAAGTTGCCTAGGGCTTTTTGCATGATGGCAATTTCTATAGTGCATGACTATTAGTTGTTAAGATTGTGGTAGATTTTATGACCAGGTAAAATTGCTTTTACTGTGGTTCTAATTAGTTTTTTTCCTTTTCACCTATATAATTTTATAGAATTTCCTATCCACAAAACCATATATGAAGTTTGGTTATCAGGTTTTCTGTGCCGTTTTCAAAACTAGTTCGTTACCAAGTATAATTCCTTTAAACTAAATTACTTTTGTAACTTTTGTAAGCAATTTTACCGGCCAAGATGTTTGTATAATGATGCAAATTGTATAATAATGTAAGTGTATTTTTCAGTTTTTCGTAAGGATATCTCATATTAGAAAATGTTACACCCAACATGGGAACATATTTATTATAGAAGAATTTAGTAAGTATTGAATTAACATTTTTTATAATTATGATCTTATTTATACTCATTACATTGCAGATCCTAAAACGCGACACGTAATTCAAAGGAAGTATAAATCGCCAATGGTAAGTTTATGTTTCCTCTTAAATATATAGACCTACTTGTGTTTCAATATTTTTTGCTTAAATGGCCTGGTTGTACGATAATATTACACCTGTAGTTAATTCGTTCAATCGTACCCTGACACAGTTTTTTTTTAATATGAGTGGCTTGTCAATTTAAACGTTGCTCCAAAAACAGAAAAGTCAAGTGCATGCATACCAATTGTATAATTTGTTAAATTAATAGTCATTTTATGTTGTTCGATTCAGAACTATGGGATTAAATTCTTGGGTTTGTTCAATGCAACAATCTAAAGCACTTGCGTATAAAAACGATTTACCAAAATGTTAACGAACGGCGCTGTATTTCGCAAGAAAGCAACAAAGTAGAATACCACTAAAAAGAAAATTGAACGCCTTTTAAAACGATGTGTCACTTGACCCTATTCCCATTTAAGATTGTAAGGGTGGCATCTACCCGTCCTAGGGGGTTGAAAGAAGGAGGTTTAAAATATTCATTTAAAGTGTCCCCCTTACAAACAAAATTAAAGTGTTATTCCGACTTTTCATATTTTTAACTACAAGAAAGATATTATGGGAGGGAAGTTTTCAAATTGACACCCCATATGTAAGTAGTGCTGATATTTTTAACCGCTAGAACTCCTACACGTGGTCACAACATAATCTTAATTCAGTTGTGGAGCAGGAAATGTATCTGTATCTTGGGAACTGTTAGATATAATAACATACGGGTTTGGTCATTAATTTAGTCATAATATCTGGTATATAAATAGGTTCTCCATTTAAAAGTGTAGAATTTGGCCCACCCTGTACCCGCAAATAAGGTTGTATCGCCTTACTTGGGAGACATGTTCCGATTTAGAAACATTTTACTTAAAGTTGCTGTTATCGCATTGAATAATTTCTATGCCATAATTCTGAAGTACGATTTAAGTACCATTATTGCAAGTTTTATTTTAATTTTAAAAATTTAGCCTACTATTCTCCACGTACAATATAGTAAGATGATACAATTTGCTATTGAATATTTTTATTCAGACGCAAACTCTATTAATCAAATCCTTTAATGTGTACCTAACAATATTATCGATATCAATTATTAATGAGTTGTTTTTATTAATGAGAGCTAGTCAAACAATTGAAACAATTTCCAATTTGTACATACTTCTTAAAAGTTATTTAATTAAGTAACACTATTATTACTGTATTATACTATACACTTTCATCTTTGAAGCATATTATTCGCTATTTGTGCACAATGATTTTTTGCTAGTTTTTAATTAAATGCAAAGTACCCATCCTTTATATTGCCTTAACACCAGCGGTAGTCTTAATTATACACAGCAACATGCATTCATTATGTTTCCTTGCTTGAGCAAAACTAATTTATTATTCTAAATCGTTTCAGCAGATCTTGTATGCCGATACTTTTCTCACTGCTCATATTGCTCTAAGAATAAATGCATATATGTTTTAAATTAAATTATGCATTGGAGGACAACGGTGAGATACAGCATTACCAATAGGCAATTAAATATCCTGAATACATGTTCAATACAAATTCAATAAAAACAACAAACATTTTAAATCGAGAACAAAATTGTAGATGTCTATTTACTTTCCAATTAATTTTTAAAATGGTTAAATAAGCTCCTGGTACTGCTAATTACTATTATTTTTAGACTGATTTGATTTGATTTGAAGTTCAGCAGCCTCCAGAATGTTTCATATATCCTGCATATATTGCCTGCATATATATCCTGCATATATATCCTGCATATCCTGCATATATTTCCATATCCTGCCTTTTAAATCATTAATATCATCTGGTGTCTTCAAATTATATTTAAATTTGAAATCAACTCACAAAGAAAGGTCTACTGTCTACCCATTATAATTTTTTTAGTGTGATTTATTGCTTATGCGACCAACGACCCAGAAGGCATAAAATAAAGTGAATTTTGAAATTACAAGTCTTTTCAGATTTACTAAATAGATTAATAACAGATTTCATAGATTTTACATATATCAGCAATTTCTAAAATTAATTTGTAGCACAAAACGAGTTCTGTGATATATTTAAGGTCACGCGTGACTACGCGTAGTCAACTCCATCTACAATGTGTTGTAATCTGCGTATTTTTTGTTGACTAGATCTTATATTTAAAATATTTGTAAATTCACATATTATAATATATTGCTATTCTTAACCGGATCATATGCATTATCCTTCCACATGGACTCGCACAAGAATATACTCTAAGATTTCATGTTGCTTGGAGGCTCGTACGAGCTCTCCTAACATTTCCAACAGGTTGTTTGTTGTGAGCAGGTTTGAACTTAACTTTGGAATATTTGAAATTATACTGAAAATGTTTCTCTTCGAGAACGAATATTATAACTAGTTCGGTCCAATTTTGCTTTGTGTACTATTTTATTCGATACCTATTAGTTTTAACAGTCCTTTAAGCTTGCAAATATAGCTTTTTAATAGGTAGTACGTAATTTCATAAAGTACCCAAATATTGTCGTTTAATCTAGAAATGGCATCGCAGACCAGCAATTTGAAGACTTGACTCCTTAAATATCAAATTGAAATTGCAAAATATGCATGATAGACGTTTTCGCTGATATTACGTAGAGTTTTTCTTTCTTTTCCTTTCTTATAAGCATGGAAGGAAACTGCCAATTGTTAATGATGATAATGTGAATATACTGCTATTCAACGGGTATAAAAGTGCAAACTTAATAACTATATTATAGCTACTCAAAGCTAGCTCTCAATCCTTAAGAAAACGCTCAATTTTCCTAATCCCTTAAAATGTCCAGCCTATTTTCTACTCATCTTTACGAGCTATTTGGACGAATGGATGGTCTTGCGGGTTAAAACTGGAGTTAATCGCTGAAAAGCTTCTTAAGTTTCGGCTATTCATTAGATCATCTTTTATGAACATTGAAAAAGGACATTTCCTGTTTTATCTAACATTTCAGTTTAAAATATTGATCAATTTATTTTCATTATTCCTGCACTGCAAAGTGCAAATTGCTTACATTTAGCATGTAACTTATACATAATATATGTTTAGTTTTCAGACATACATTTAGGTTAATGCATGGAAGTTTTTCTATTTGTTGTTTTAGGCTAGCCAGATGCTACGCTGTTTCCACAGAATATTTGCAGTCCGCTTAGCAGAAGACTTAAATAAATTTCCATCAGGAGCATGACATTATTTTTCGTTATTGCGTAAGCTTTTCTAGATCTACTTTGATTTGTTTCTGATATTCTTTCCCATTGCTTAAGATACATTACGTGGGCTATGAGTCAGCGATTCTCAACTTAATTGCATTGGGAACCAATATCCGCGAAAACTGTTTCTTGTTTTCAGTTCCATTTTTATTTGCAATATATTTTTGAGCTTAGGTATTGAAGGTCTATAAGTTTCGATGACCATTTTTTACATAGTCTAATAAGAAGCCTAATTTGAATGTATATTTATAGGCTGATCAAATCTGCTATTCCGTGCTTTGCGTCTTTTCCTACGTAGCAGCAGGCAAGGAAGGCAAAAACAAGTTTACGATGCCGCCACGACCTCAACGATCTCAACCTTCTCAACAGCTCAAGGTAGTGACATGCATTGTGCCGGCAGAACTGCAAGGAATAAGTGTCGATTCGACCTGTAATCTTTCAACGGTCACGCATTCCACTAAGCCTCCTGCCCATTTTATCCCTTGTACTCAGTCAAGTTTATCTCCATCAGCGTTTGGCCCGGAATCAAGTGCAGTAACTCCTGTTGGTGGACCACCAACTTATCCGCCACCAGCCTTACCTCCAGGAGTATCGCCTCCAGCTGCCCCACCAGGTCAGACAAAAACATTGACTTCACAAATTTCGGTACCAACTCCTCTAAAACCTCCACCCATTCCTAGTCGAAGTTCGTTGCCATTTAGGCAAGCATCTTTAGGCCCACCTTTAGGTCAGCCTCCTCCTCCGCCACCGCGAAACAAGTGACGTGGTAAACGGTACTCTAATCCGTTGCATTTAGCGACCGAGTGCGTGAGGCCGTCTTGTCTTCCGTGGATTTAGATAAGTTTATAGTGTAGGAAAGTGTTAAAACTGCAGCAACTTCAAATTTCTTAAGTACTTTGAAATACTTTTCGATGTTCAATTTATTTGTAAATAACGTTTTTTGTTATTTGTATTTTATTACCTTAGAAGGCATTCTATGAATTTTAGATCTTTTCGGAGGGAATGCTCGACTTTTGCTTGATACTTCAATAATAATATGTGGGTGTATTGTAACGGTTAAAAAATAGCAATTTTTTTAAATTACAAAAGTCAAAATTAAAGCATGAGTTAACCTGAAAAAATAAGGCTGCACTCAAAAAACTTATTTTCGGTTAGCTTATACGGTATGACTAAATTATCATAATGCTATTTTGCTGTTCCTTGAAGGGATAACGATATTTACATTTTTTCTCTCTGGGTGTTTTCACATATTTCAACCAGTTTATTCCCAAAAATATGCTATTGCTTTATGCAAAGCGACCTTTTAGTATTTTGAACATACGGAGGGCATAAAAATATTGAGTATTTATATTAAATTTCAAAATCCAACTGCTGACTTCAAACCACTTTTCCTCCAACCTTCATTTTTGAACTCGACTTCCTTCTTATTTATATCTCTGTTTACCGACTTTGTTCATCACTCTGAGCATAGAATGTCTCAATTTTCTTAACATTTTTGTCTTAGATATAAAAAAGCAATACTTAATAAATAAATAGAGAATATTTGTAAAACTGTGCGTTTTGAGAACTTCTTATGTAGGAGTTTTTATTGTATAGAATAGGTATTTGAAAATGTTCTGTATAAATTCATTGATGCTTTCAGGGAAAGAACATAAGTATACCTTTGCTGATAGCCATTCATCGGCTAGCTTGGGATAATTAGTGTTGAATATATATTTAAGTTTCATATTTTATAAAGGGCAAGTAAATGCACAATATATGATTTAAATTAATTATTGTTTTATTTTTGTCTACGTCTTAGAAATACACATTTATATTGTTTAATTCTCCTGTATTTATTTTTACCTTTACCTTTTTCCAGGAGCTATTTGGCAGCTCATCACATATCAAATATCTCGTGTAGAGGGCAAACTGGTAACGTGATGGTTGAAAAATAATTGACTGGAAAATATTATATTCGTTAAATTTAATTTTCCAACCACATGACCAGTTTGCCAGATGTGATGAAAATTTTAGGTTTCATCTATTTTCTTCAATACTTTCATAGAAATATTTAGGTATAATCTCGAATAATTAAGGTGGAATGGTAAGGCAATTAATTTGGGTATTGGAATTTAATCATTAATTATTAATAAAAAAAATTGGACTTTGTTTCAAAAAATTAAAAAATTGGACTTTGTTTTCAAAGTTTTGATAAAAAACTTTGAAAATGCTGTCAAACAGTCAGTGATAAAGTCAAGGTGTCAGCGTCAGCTTGGCGAAACCTTACTTACCACACGGGATGAAGAAAATTTGTAATGGGTAAAAGTGGTTTTTCCGCCATCGAAAACAGTGGCAAAAGTACGTACTTTCCACCAGGGTATCAAGAAAATATATTTTAAAACACAATTGAACTTCGCCATATACAGAGCGTTTTGTCCTACACAGTTATGTAATGTCATGATCTAAGCAAAAGTTGAAACTTTGGTTTTTGCCTTCATAACTTTTTCCAAACCATTGCCATAACTGAGAAAAGTCATGGTTCATTAAAAATTCAAAATTTGTAGATGAGTTCGCTTTTTTACAGATTGAAGTATTTAATAGGCGCAGCTCATTTAATTTTATTAGATGATTACATAACATTTATATTATAAATACAATAGGTTTAAAATTATTTCTGAAAGCAACAGTCAATAATTGCAATGAAATTGGAGGAGCGTTCATTACAATTGAAATAAACCGAAATTTCAATATTAATTTGTTTTTAGTGTGTTAGTGTAGGTTTTATTTCATTTTGTTACTTTACCTTCAAATCAATCAAGTGAGTGAATCGTAAATAATTCAAATTGTAAAACGGTTAAATGTTTTATTTAAATTACATTGATCTACAATTGCTGCTAGCTGTTTGTCAAACAAAATTTTATTTGCTACTCGGTCTCTGTGTTAATTAGGTAAATCTGACTTCCAAGATATTATGGTGCTTTGCATGCAAATGTCGGCAAACTATTCTCTTATTTGCATATAGACAGTTTTAACCGCGGTGAACTTGACAAAGTCAATTAGCTTCAATCGCGTTAATGCAGATTTTGGCTCAATATGAGATAGGCAGCTTTCCAGCTTGCTTTAATGTGTATGTTAAGTATCGCGGCGAGAGAGTGGTAGAAAAAAAAAGGTTTTTTTGAAATATGACCTTAATTTTCACAAAAATACGTCCATGTAGGACTAGTTCCTGGTGGATTTTGGAAGCATGAAGCATATTGGAATACTTAAGCCCTTGTCAATAATAAAAATGATTTTTCTCAAACTGTGACTTGCTTTGAATTTGCTTTCACGAATTTTCAGATATGCAATCAGTTCAAGGGAAATGCTACAGTAGCATAGCAGAAGCTGAAAGAACTCACGCCTACAAAGGGTGAAGAGAGCGGTTACAGGAAGATAGTGGACGACAATAGATGTTCGAGTTCTAAATACAGAGAAACAAGTATTGGACATAATTGCAGAAGAGCCTTTCAGGGGCGCACAGAACAATGCACAGCAACTGACACTTTATCAGGCACCAAATAAATACCGGCTACATTCCTACCTCGTATGTCAGGTCACATTAAACCAATGAATTATTGAACACCGGTATAAATTGAGCAGGAGTTAATTAACCGAATAAGAGAAGCTGCTCGAGAAGAGATGCCTGACTATAAGGTGATTACGTAGGCATTTGTTTTAGATACAGACTCAAATGTATATTGTTTTTCTAACATAATTTTTTCCAAATTTCTCAGTTTTTAATAACAATTAACTTTTTTTACTAATTTTTCTGTACTCCTAATATACCCCCAGACCACACCTCCAGAGGAATGACGCCAATTTTGAATCACTCTGTATATGTATTAATATATTACAAATATACATCTCATTTGATTGGATAAAATTTAAAACCCTAAATTGTTTCTTAGTTGGAAAAGTAACGAAATGCGGTAATTAATAATCATTACCAGATTATATTTGCAAATTGAATAAATTGTATCAGTAATAATAAGTGTAAGTAAGGAAGTAACGACACAAAAATCGGCCAAAAATCGAAGAAATTTTTGATAACATCAAAAATAATGAATGCGACAGTTATAATGAAGATATTCAAAAATAAAGTAACTAGAATTTATGACCTCAATTTTATTACAGCAGTACTAAAGGCCAAGTACATAGGTTATCTATTTAAACATGTTCAAAATAGTTTTTTGTAGTTGTTATTGAGAAATTTAAGATTACTTAAATTCTATCTTCTTCCCAAAAGTGAACAAGAAATACTTGCTGAACTTATTGGTTTTAGATATACTTGGTACGAACTGGTAAATTAACTACACATATAATTATAACGAAATAACGATAACATTCTTTGACGGGAAGAGTTTTCGATGCGCCGTTTCAAAACTGTTCTTACAATCAGAGGCGGATCAGTGATGCGGAACGTTTCTTGTCCATAACAGCAATTGATATTGGAAAACACGAGGAACGCATATTGTCCCTGTGGTGTCCCTACAAAAAAAAATTCACTCATTTTTTACTGCTAATAATTCAAAATAAAATTTGTGTTAGGCCTTAGGAAACCATTTGCCGCCAATCTATTAAAAAGGTTCCTCTCTTAGCGTTTAATCCATCCATTAAATGAGGTTGTAAATTCTGAAGCAAATTTTGCTCCTTGATAGGGAAAATCGTTGCAAGTTGCTCATCTGAACATAGTTTTTGGTTGCTATAACGACCTATTCAACTGTTTAGAAAAATTTCAGAAATACATATAATCTGTTAACTTTATGTATTTTTTATCAAAAATAGTTCTAGAGAAATCGGACTTGGAAAAATTTTCTCTTTGGTGGAAAATTTAGCATTCCTTAAATACCGCATTCCTACGTGGATATCTACGATCTTCAAACTAGTGGAACATATTTGGCGAATTTTATTCTTCACATTTTCAAAATAATGTTCTGGGATCAGAATATCAGAAGTATACATGGAACAGAACCATTTAACGCCATATTAAACAAAGATTAATAAAAATCAACAAGTTTGTAATACTAATGTTCCTATTTTGTCTTTGCAATGCTTGATATCCTTTTATAACATCAATTGCATCATGCCTCAATCATGCCTAATCCAATGTTAAGGAAATAACTTATCAAAAGACTGCATATATACGGCACCCGTAATAATTTATTCCCTTAGATGAACGGCCAACAGAAAGTATATTAGGTGGAAATAAAACTATCTATGTATCATGGGAATTATAAGGTGTTAATAACTTCGTATATGTAACCACCTCGAAGGTGAGGATCCTCGGGCAATTACTGCCGAGCCTAGAGCCATAATCCCAAGGGCCCAAACTTTGCCCTCTGAAATTAACAGGCGTATAATTTCTTTGCCGCATAAATCACTATAGTGACATATATAGCGCCATAAAACGACTTAAAAGTTTAAACTTTATAGTTGTTTAAAAAATGTCTTTTTCCGGTATTAACCTCTATGTAGCTTATTACTTCAATTTGATCTGAAAATCATACTTAATAACTTAAAAAATATTTATAATTGAAATAGATTAAAGGAAGTACTGGAAAAAGTAATTTTTCGAAACGGAACGAAGACATTTTTTCATGTTCGCCAGTGTCTTGCATTCTAATAAACATTTAAATATTAATCGCCTAGATTAATCTATAATGCCTCTAACTTTTCTTAATATTTGGATTGATTATTAAATGACGATGATGATGATGAAACATTACTTTGCTGTCAATATTTATATATATAATATCATTCAACGCTCGACAAAAATCAATTCGTATTCCAGATTATTATTAATTTCATTTATTATTGGATGCTATAATAAAAATTTTCGTACTACTAAATGTTTTCAAATTCTGATTCTAACTACCCTAAATAAATTAATTTTGGCTAACGACAATTGGCTGCCAATTTTGTTCGCTAATAATAGTAGTTATAATAAATAACTATACACACCGACATTTCTGAATGTCACTTACAATTAGCTTAAAATAGCAGTAATTTTCTATTTTTGTCATATATCCTTTACTTAACCCTCGTCGCAAATGGAAATCACTGATTGAAAAATGTCCGGAATTCGAAATAACCTGCTAATGATCTAATTGCTCACGTTTCGTCTGAATAGCACATTACTATTTTTTACTATACAATCTTTATTTCCTACAGAAAAAGGCTTAAAAAGAATATTATAAGTTAAACATCGACTATCCTACGTGAAATTTGCAGCTTGCTATATTGTTTCTTCCTACAAAACCTCTAAAATTGCAAATTAATTCTTTGCCAGTATTCCGCAAACCCTTCTCATTTTCCTTAATTCAATTTGCACCAGCTCTCAGCTTTATGCATGTGACGAGAGATGCCAATCCGCAGATATCTTTGAACAGCTCGGGACAGTCGTGCTCCAAAATTGGATCGGTCTTTGGATAATAAAAAAAGAGTCTATTTCAGGTTCCTATTTTCTAAGGTAAATTGTACCGTGTGATTATTTCTACTTATGCTTATAGAAATTCAGTAACATTTTTATGAATTTATTTTCCAGAAATTCTGGATGTGCTGCTATTGCACAAAGACAACTTTTCGGAATAACGTTTTCTTGTAAATTGAGAAATTTCCCACAGTATGTATAATAATTTTGGTATTAGTCCAGTAGTTACTAGTACTATACTATGTATGGTCCGAAAGAGTCGACTAACCAAGGTAAAGGTCGTGAAAGCGCGTTACCTAAACGAGCATTTATTATTTAATT